GCTGGGGGCGGGGCGGCTGCGGCTGCGGGAACTGCAGCTGGGGCTGCGGGAAGGGATGCTGGTGGCCTGGCTGCGGCTGCGGGAAGGGATGTGACGGCTGCGGGGGGTACGGCTGCCTGCGGCGGCTGCAGCTGCATGACCTGCGGGGGCGGAAGGTGCAGGACGGGGTGCTGCGGCGGTGGCGGCGGCTGCTGCTGTGACAGGTGCGGCTCTGGAGTCACTTTCAGCTGGCTGAACAGCACCGCGCTGGTGTTCACGTGTCCCTGTTGGTTGTGATTCACCTGCTGCTCCAAGTTTTTTGTAGGTGCTGAAAGGGACTGTAAGATCTAGAAAACGAAAATTGGGCAGAGTCACTATTGGCAGCTCCTGGAATGTACCAACGTCGATCACGAGAACAACGTCAGACGCATCCCACGTGCGTCTAACACGCGACTCGGTGTGAAGCACGGAGCCTCCGGAAGCCTCAGGACCAACACCGCCTCGCTCTTTTGTATTTACTAAGCATCGCTGACTTCAGTAGCGCGAGTGACAAAGTCACCCTCTGAGACCGCCAGGAGCTGAGGACGCGAAATGGAACGGTCCACAGAACTGAAGCTGACGAACACAAACGCGTGTTCCAGTGGCGGATGCGTTTGTAGCGTGCGGCGTGATGGGCAGCAGGGAACCCGAGATGCCCCGTCCGTTTCCTCCCGGGCCCTGGGGCCACCTCCCCCCGGGCCATGCGGCACGTCCCCCTCCTGCCAGGCCCCCCCGGACCTTCCCTTAACTAAGCCGGCTGTGGGCACGACAGGCCGATCAGCCGCCGGCGGCCAGGACCGGCCCACACACGCCTCCTTTCCATGAAGAAAGCTGCCGTTTCTGACAAAGCGTGGCCTGGTGACAGTGCATCAGGGAGGCCACCGCCCAAGTGACTGCACGGGACACGTGCCATCTGGCCACAGCTTCCCGGCCGGAGCCCCCAGCCTCTAATCTGCAGGCACCCTGCTCCGTGCACGGGCATGGCACAGGACAGGCCCCGGCAGCAGGCCTGTCTACAGGGCAGACAACCCCCCAACTAGATCACTGGGCTCCCCCAAAGCACCGTGGAGACCCTCCAGGGACACATGAGAGGAAACTCGCTGGCTCGGGCTACATGGCCGCGGCAGGAGGCTGGCAGGTGGGAGCGCACAAGGCATCGGCAGAGGCCACCAAGCTGAGTGTTCGATTGCACATTATTTTATTACCCTGCACAGTGCTGAATAAGACAAAAGAAACGCTGTACAATGAACTTTTCCAATATGCTTAAATAACAAAAATTGGGAGCCAATTTCTCAGGGTCAGTGGGAACCAGTAACAAATAGATTTTATTAAGAATCAATACAACTTAACCCTATTAAGGGCATACTTGCCTTTTAAATAAAACTCTAGAAATTCAATTTTAACGTAAAGCAGAATTATACGAAAATCTCAAATGTGTTTTTAACACAACGAAAGAGCCCAAAACGTAAAGTCTGTATCATTTGGATTTAGGGACGAGACGACTGAGTTTAGGACTGGAGTAAGTCAAACTCAGGGGCCTGGGACACCTGTCCTTCAATCACCGAGTAGCTCTGACGTCTCCATAAGGAGATTCTTTCAGTACTTCAGAAACTCCTCAGTTGAGCTCTAAACAGAAAAAAGAATGTTTTTAAACAAATTTGTAAGTAACAGGTTAACTATTTCTTCCCCACGCTTAAAAGTATTAAAAACTGCCCGGTGAAGCTGAGGGGCAATTGACCCAGCGGCCCCCGCAGAGCGGCGTCCGGGGTGCCAGCGTCCCCGTGCAGAGGCGCGTGGGGCAGGGGACACCTGCCGGTGTCTGCAGGCCAGCCACGAGCCCACACACGGCCCTGGCAGGTGGCAGCGGCTCCATCCCGGGAGGGAACTGGGGTTACCGCTTTGTAGCCTTTGCTACTGTTTGAGGTTCCGTATTTTGTACACACATTATTTTTTTCACCCTCAGAAGTAAACGACCCAAGTAAATTTGATGGGTGATTAGGAAATAAACACCTGTCTGCCACCGGAACGAACAGGGCCCCCTTGACCCCCAAACCCAGGCCAAAGGAGAGCTGGGGAAGATCTGAGGGACCGTCACAAAGGGAGTTTATGTTAGGGGGGCCAGCGGGGATGCCTGGACCAGAGGCTGCTGCCCACTCAGCTGCCGCTCCTCAGAGCACCCGGGAGGGCTGGGCCGTGCCTGCCTTCTGCGGGGTACACAGCGACCTCAGGGACCGCAGGAGGCCAGGGCAGGCGAGCCCCAGCCGGAGTGGGGGACGCTGGCCTGGAGAGCCGTGAGGTCCCTCCGACAGCAGCCCCTTACCCGCCGCGTGCCCTGGAGCCCAACAATCAAAGAAAAAGGATTGCCCGTCGCCTGACTGCCACGCTGCCACGTCCGGGGTGCGTCCTCCACAGCGGCCATAGTGTCCAGTAAAATCACTGAATGTCGAGAATCACGGTATTAAGAAAGCATTGCGATGTGTGCGACACGGCTCCCAACCATTAAAAATGTGCAATTTAAACAGGATTCTGATGGTCAGCTACGTTTCCCCAGGCCTCCCTGGTCTAATTTTATATTAAGTCTGTCTTATACTTCCAGCATTTCAAACATTCACTTTCTTCACATCTAGCAGCAGAATGTCCTAATGTTGTCAGACTGTACGAAAACTCAGAAAATTTCTTCACAACTGTCTTTATTGGTGCCCAAACCCATCTGCTCCCTAGGACTGGACGCACCTCCCCAGTCTCCTGCCTAGAGCGCAGGGCTGAATGGGTCGAGTTTGTCTGCTAAGGCAGGGGTGCCCAACCGCCGGGCCGGGGGACCAGTACCAGTCTGTGGCTTGTTAGGGACCAGGCCGCACAGCAGGAGGGGAGCAGCGGGCCAGCGAGCGAAGTTGCATCTGCATCCGCAGCCGCTCCCCAGCGCCAGCATCACCGCCTCAGCTCCGCCGCAGAGCATCGGACGTTAGATGCTAGATGCTAGATGTGAGATGCTCACAGAGCCCCGGTCCCTGTGCCAGGAAGGCTGGGGACCGCTGCACTAAGGTGTCTTACCTGCAGTATGATTTGAAAGCAGACCTGTGCCTAAACCTCCAGTGTAGCCATCTGCTTCAAACGAGATCGCTTTCCTTCTACACCCAAACACGAACTCGGGGAGCTGGGGTTTAAACTCGCAGCCACCGTGTTTGAACACAGAGCAGAGCAGAGATGGCCACTGGCCGAGCGGCTGGGAGCGCGGGGAGCACCCTACTCCGTTTCTGGGGGACAGCCTCCACGCGTCACCGCCAAGTACACAGGGAAACCACGCGTCCTGAGCTGCCGACAGCTTCGCGCGTCACTCACGTCTCTCTGCGCAGCCCAGCGGGATGCGTCCACCCAGACACAGCCGGTGCCTTCCAGCGTCCCCGCCACGGCGACACCCTGCTCTCCTCAGTCCCTGCCTCCCCACCGAGCCCCAGGCCCCCTGCTGCCTGCTGCCCGCTTGCTGTCCGGGACGGCTCCGCTGTGGCCTCACCAGCTACCGCCCTGGACGCGACGTCCACAGACGCCGTGCGGCAGCTCGTCCTGTGTGCCACCTCCCGTTCGCCGAAGCAAGGACGCCGTCTGGACAGGCCCCAGCCTGCTGCGCTGACCCCTCCTCTCAGTGACCCATTCCTCGTGCCCTCAGCCACCACGCCCCGACACCTTCCGGACCGCGGTCACAAACAGGACTCAGGCCGCAGTGCACAGGGCGACGGGACGGGGCAGTAAACGCGCAGCGTGGGGACTGAGGGCGGGAAGAAGCCCCTTCCCAAGAGGCCGCTGCGGCCGGGCCTCGAAGGACTGCCAGCGGCCAGACTCCAAAGCACCAGCCCAGCGTCACCACACCGCCCACGTCATAGGCTGGCCCAGAACCAGCCGTCAGGGACTCCTGGTTCCGGCCCATCAATGCAGCTCGCAGGTGGGTGTGGACCAAGCCGGTGTGCCAGGCAGAGTGTGGCCTGTAACAGCCTGCCACACCCCTAACCTCACCGCGAAGCCCAGACAGCACCTGCTCCTCCTCCGGGGGCCAGAGCGCCCACCTGCCCGCCCTCCTGCCCCGCAGCTGGCTACGTCCACGTGCTCACCCACCACGGCCTGAGCCGCGGCCACCAGCACACGTGGCTCCAACCAGGTCGAGCGGCACCGTGTCCCCAGCACCTCTGCAGCAGCTGCGTCGCAGCCGTCCGGTCCC